AGGCGCCGTAGCCAGCCTTGGCTCTGGTGGTTCTCGCACGTTGTTCGTTGGAAGAGATCCTCTCTTCCAAGTCAGCCTGAATCACCGCCCGCTTCGCAGGCTTCTCCATTTGGTCCGGAGAGCCTCTGGAGTCCCGCCTAAGGAAGGCCCTCTTCCTTGACTGGCGAGTCGAGCCACAGTTCGAACCACTCATATTCGACTCAGTGTCAGATAAGTCCGACACCATGTCACCGCCTCGTAACAGACTTGCCGCAGAAGGTGCGCGGCTGGTCTCCGATGCCGAAGCATCTCGGGACTTGGGTTGGCCCTGAGAAGGGCCTTTGGGTTGGCCCTGAGAAGGGCCTTTAGGTTGGCCCTGAGAAGGGCCTTTGGGGAGAAAACGCCCGGAGGCGTCCCTCAGAGGTTGTGGCATTGCCACCGACAATATCGACACTTACGACAGACAAATCGTATCGACTCACAGCGTTCGTTAGCCGCCGGCCTGCCACTCCGTTACGGTGGTCAGGCGCGACGTTGCCCAGGGGTCACTACGAGGAAGTCAACGCTGTGGGGGGACCCCCAACCTAACCTAACCTAACCTAACCTAACCTAACCTAACCTAACCTAACCTAACCTAACCTAACCTAACCTAACCTAACCTAACCTAACCTAACCTAACCTAACCTAACCTAACCTAACCTAACCTAACCTAACCTAACCTAACCTAACCTAACCTAACCTAACCTAACCTAACCTAACCTAACCTAACCTAACCTAACCTAACCTAACCTAACCTAACCTAACCTAACCTAACCTAACCTAACCTAACCTAACCTAACCTAACCTAACCTAACCTAACCTAACCTAACCTAACCTAACCTAACCTAACCTAACCTAACCTAACCTAACCTAACCTAACCTAACCTAACCTAACCTAACCTAACCTAACCTAACCTAACCTAACCTAACCTAACCTAACCTAACCTAACCTAACCTAACCTAACCTAACCTAACCTAACCTAACCTAACCTAACCTAACCTAACCTAACCTAACCTAACCTAACCTAACCTAACCTAACCTAACCTAACCTAACCTAACCTAACCTAACCTAACCTAACCTAACCTAACCTAACCTAACCTAACCTAACCTAACCTAACCTAACCTAACCTAACCTAACCTAACCTAACCTAACCTAACCTAACCTAACCTAACCTAACCTAACCTAACCTAACCTAACCTAACCTAACCTAACCTAACCTAACCTAACCTAACCTAACCTAACCTAACCTAACCTAACCTAACCTAACCTAACCTAACCTAACCTAACCTAACCTAACCTAACCTAACCTAACCTAACCTAACCTAACCTAACCTAACCTAACCTAACCTAACCTAACCTAACCTAACCTAACCTAACCTAACCTAACCTAACCTAACCTAACCTAACCTAACCTAACCTAACCTAACCTAACCTAACCTAACCTAACCTAACCTAACCTAACCTTTATTATACATCTATACTTATAATAAATCTGTAGAGAGGTCAATTCTGTACATGAACTATATTTTCAAAATAACTATCAGGGGGTGATAAGTGATCGATACTGATGCCAAAAATGAAATCAGTAAAATTTTTGTCTGTCTGTCTGTATGTTCTTTATAGAAACAAAAAAACTATACGACGGATTTTAATGAAACTTGGTACAATTATTTTTTATACTCCTGGGCAGGTTATAGGATACTTTTCATCACGCTACAAATAATAGGAGCAGAGCAGTGAAGGGAAATGTTAAGAAAACGGGCGAAGTAACTCCCTTTTTTAAGTTTCCGTCGCGTGTGTAGCCTTAACGATTAAAGTTACATAGAAATTATGTATGACGGCAATATTTTACATAATATTATCTCAAAAAAATTTTATACGGAATATATCTATCTTTTATGGTTAACTCACAATAGCACGTGTAACTCCTGATAGCTTAGCAATTCGGATAATAAGCCATCGCGCCGTCGTATGTGAAAACTGAATCATGCTATAGGGATTATTTTTGTGTAACTGTTGCAGCGCTCGACGCGACGCGGTATAAATATAATATAATAGTGGGTTTTATGAAATATTTTTAATACTTACCTATTAGTGAGATCCGTACCATTCTATCTATGGACAGACGGATGGCGGAGACTTAGAAAGTACTAGGGTATTTACCCATTAAAATGAAACGATTAATATCAAATTTTATGTATTGCTACTTCGATTTTGTTCTATTGCTATAGGCTGCTTTTCATCAAGACAGCACGCGGGCGAAGCCGCTGGCGGAAGCTAGTTATCCATATAGGACCAAAGTTCTCATCAATATAAATGAATGTAGTCCAAACACGAGGTAGTTACTGTAAACCGTTCAGGAGTTCCCTGACCTGTCCATCGTTCTCATCATCAGACCCATAATGACAGTCACTACCGATCTTGGTGCAAAGTGCTCACCAATACGAATCATTCAAGCCCAAACACAAGGCAACTACTCCAAATAATCAAGGAGATCCCTCGACTGCCTTCCGGCTCCATCATCACAATTTACTGCATAACTTCATTGTAATCCATAGAGGTGCAAACTTTTCATCGATATAAATGAATGAAGTCCAAACACGAGGTAGTTACTGTAAACCGTTCAGGAGTTTCCTGAGCTGTCCATCGTTCTCATCATCAGACCCTTAATGACAGTCACGACCAATCTTGGTGCAAAGTACTCACTAATACGAATCATTCAAGCCTTAACACAAGGCAATTACTCCAAATACCTAGTCAAGGAGATCCCTCGACTGTCTTCCAGCTCCATCATCAGGTCGGGTTCGAACAACAGCAAGTTGTAAATTTGTCAAAAGCCTACTAAAACCATATGCAAAAGCACCACTCGCCCCTACAATTTTTGAAAGTTCCCCTCGATTTCTCTGGTCTTCCATCATCAGATCCTGATTTCCTTATCATGGGACCATTCTGGGACTATCTCCTTTCCAATAAAAAAAGAATTATTAGGCAGCTGCTTACCTTTTTTTAAAAAATATTGTATCCTGCCGTTGCCCTGTTTGTATATTTACGACATTTCTTAAAAGTCAAAGTCAAAAAAAACCCGGATCTCTTTATTAAGAAAAAATCTGTTACAAATAGAAATAGTAGATACCCTAATAAATTATTTGTACCGAGCCAACGCACAACATTATATAGCAGAAACTCTTATTGCATGGCCATCAAAATTTACAATAAACTTCCAAATGACCTAAAACATCTTAACCTAATGTCTTTTAAAAGAAAATTGTTTGAGTTTTTGCTAGATAAATGTTTTAATGGTTGGAACATTAAAACTTTATTGATTGTTGAACATAATTAATCACATACATCTATAGTTCTTAAAATTAAGCACATGGTAAAGTGGCGTCGAGTCGCGGAGGAATACGCATGTCGCCCGTACGCGACGAAGGTTGGGGTGCTCTCTCGCGCCGCCCGCGCCGCTCGCGCCACCTCGGCCTGCGTTGGCGCGCGGGGTGTGCGGGCGGCGGAGGGGGGGGGGGCACAGTGTAGCGAAGCCACAGCCTAACCAAATAAAATCCCGCGCTACAATGTTATTATTCCACTAAAGATTATTTAGATGACCTATCATAGATTTAGAATGTAGTGCATAGTTGTAACTAGATATTAAGCTAAATAATTTGTACACCAATTCGGTAGAATGTGTGAGATTCCATACACTACATTCTCACAAATAAATATTTTCTTTCTTTCTTTCTTTTGTCCGATATATATATTTAGACCAACATAATTGTTGGTGTCTATCAAGTGAATACTTAAATTGTACAATCCAACATTAAATTTGTATCTAATATTATTTTCTTCGTGTGCCAATGATTTAGGGTCAGCTCCAAAAGTCGATGAACAGAATCAATTTTCCAAAACACCTGTTCACAATAAAATGCCCTAAGTTATAGTCACAACTAGGAAACAAAATAGCCTGTACCTACATCAGAAATTTACAAAAGCTAGCTTTATGGTAATGCAAATATAATGATCTACTTTATATTATGTTTAACAAGTGAACTGTGGAAATTCATCCAACTATTTTTATTTCAATTACTTCTGTTATCACACATAATAATAAGGGTAGAATCTAGGTATATTAAAACTAAAATTATTAATTTTATCCAAAATATTAACAAAATTACAACCGGGCATACAGTGATTAAATATTTTTTCGGATTCTTTGCCTAAACATTAGTGTAACACTGTTCATACATATCAGAACCGACTAAATGATGTAACAAAGAAATGAATTGTAAAACTGATTGAAAAAGAGTAACCGTGGAGTTTCTTGCTCGTTCTTCTCCATAGGAATCTACACTTTGGAACGAGCCAATAGCTTCACTAGAGGACAGACGGACAGACTGATGCGCCAAAGATAAAGCTCTTCAAAAGAGTGCAGTACTGTGGTCTAATTGAAATAAGTGATTTTGACTTTTTTTATATTAATAAGACCTAATTCATTTGCCAATATTGAACCTAAGATTTTTCTAATCTCATCACTGAAAATTACAATATTATTAGGTACTACTAGAACTACAACTATGAACAGGAAACAGTAATCCTCCAGCATGAGATGAGGTAAGTAGGTGTCACATGCCGGCAGAGAAGAGCAGGCAGTATAGCATCAGGAGTGCACTTGTCACACTATTTCTCCTGCGAACCCACCAACTCATTCATTGCCAACGTGTATTCCCTCATCGGCCTTTCTGAAGCACTATTGATTTATTAGACACTAGCTGTTGCCCGCTAGGTACTTCGTCCGCGTGGACTTCAGTTTACAGCGTGCGGTGGTTTCCGTTTCCGTGGGAATACCAAGATAGACGCCTACATTACTGCTCCTTTATTTTGACGTTTCAAAAGTACCTATAGCTAGCTATCTATAGGTAGCTATTTATGGTTTAGTTGGAATAAACGATTTTGGATTTGACTTGACCACAAAACTATGTGACGCCAACTAGCACCAAAGCTGGATCCACCGTAGGTTGAAAGTAAGAATAAAACTAAGAATATAAAGTGTTTTTTTTTTCAATTGGGTTATGAACTAAAAGTAATAGAGAGGTACTTAAACATAGTTTTTATTTTTCGTTTAAGCCTACGAATGCCGCGTGTCGTATGAGTTGTGTTTATAACAGTAACAGTATGAGCAGCGTAGAGGTGGTAGAGGTCAGACGCGGAGCAGGCGCTCCAGCGCGAGGGCGTGGCGCTGCAGGCGGCGGGCGCAGGCGCCGGCGGCCCAGCCCAGCGCGCCGCAGCCCGCGCGCGCCATCCACTGCAGCTGCGACCCGTCGCCCTCGCTGGCTCCCGACACCACGGCGCGCACCTCGACCTCATCTGCACAGGATTGCCATATAGCAAGCTCGGTACTATAACGATAGGCAGTCTAATCTGGCAAAACAGTAAATGAAATGAGTACCACAAAGCTGCGGCCAGGGCAGCAGCGGCAAGGCTGAGCAGTCGCGGCGCACGACCGACACGTGGTGGGAGCGCACGGCGCGGCCGTGCTGGGGCGCGCGGCCGGCCGGCTCGTCCGCCGCCACCACCACGCCGCGGCCCCGGCACCACGTCCCGCACTCGAACGATACCGAGTAACGCCACGTCGTGTAGTTGCTGTGGTCTTCTTCGACCCACCAAGATGAACTGTTGCAAAAGACAATTAAAAAAGTCTCCTCCCGTCCCGGAAGTAAATATTTACATGCACAAGGGAATCTAATATACCTACGCACCTAGGGCCGAAGACGATATCTATCCTTTTACTGTTATAAACTGAAAAATTTGTTACTAACAAAATACACACAGCTAGATCCGGATGGAACGCTCAGACTTTTCACCCAGGTAACGCAGACGAAGCCGCTGGCAGAAGCTAGTATACATTTAAGGCGTTACTTACTATATTCTGTCTGTCTCTTTCGAGGACTAAAAGACTTAAAGACACAATTTTAAGGTATGTTTTATGGTGACAATGCCGACAGTGATATGGAGCGGCCGCTGTAGCCGCCCCCGGAGGACGTACATGTCGGGCTGGTTGGAGAAGTCGGCGAGGGAGTGCGCGAGCGCGGCGGGGGCCAGCGCGGGCAGGCGGTGCGTCGCCGCCACCTGCGCCGGCACGCGCACGCGCAGCGCGCCCAGCGCCGCCGCCGCCAGCGCCAGCACGCGCCAGCGCCGCCAGCACGCGCGCCACTGCCGCGCCGGACCCGCCATTACACCCACTTCAGCTGATTTCTTCAAACAGACTTTCAATTCACTTGCATTTGGTGCTCTCAAATTAGTCATGTGGAACAATATCTGTTTTTATACGCAGGCAGAACGACAGGCTCGGTGGTTTGTTTGGTAAACGTTACAGTTGAACCTATTCGATAATTTCATGACAGTAACAACACTGATACTATGTTCTGTACTTTACTAACATCGCAAAATAGATTATTGTGCTTACAGTTAGATGCGCCTTGCGCAGGGAGATGTGCACGCAAACCAAGTGGTCACTAGCAGCCGGTCGTCTTGTTTGTTCTAGTCCGCACTGCGGGTGCACAGAGCGACTGGGCGACGGAGCGACGGAGCAGCGATTAGTAGCGGCGAGCGCCGGAAGCGCTCAGTGCTCGCCAGATAGGAGAGGCGCGCGCGGCGCGGCGTCCGGCCACGCACTATATTTAGCTAGGCTAACATAAACAACGCATGTTGCTGTAGCACTAGGTACACTGCACCGCACAAGTGACTCACTACTTTAAGAAAGGCCTCACGCGAAAGATCTGTCTCATTAGTGAGAAGTGCAGCGTGGGATGTTAATATTGTATGGTATCTATGTATCTGTCTCACTTGGCGATGCTTTGCCAAAGTCGCCGCTCCCCACGTGGCAACTAGACACTGGACTCTCAGACGCTGGGAGGCTGGTAACTTCTATTGTACGAACAACGCCAAACGACTGCAAAATCGAGGCTCGTGGAAGACCATGAGATTGTTCTAAGGAGTTGTACGGTTTGATCTCCGCCGCATTTTCGTCATAGTTCTACGCGAAATCGTCATCATTCCCATCACATACCTAGATCTATGGTTGGCACTTGGCAGTCAACAACTGTTACTGTGCGATTTACGCGAAACTTGTCTACCTTGCACAGCAAAATTCTAGAATGATTTTCTGGCTGCGGTATTCCCAAACCGATACGACCTTCAAATCTTCAAGGAACAAGCGTACTCGTAAAAATAATAACTCAAAGAACCCATTTCCATGACTTATGCATTTTTTGTCTGTTTGTGCGCGCATCACGTCAGCCAAAGGTTATATATGAAAATTATATATAATTATGCAACATAAGGTACAGCTTAATTTTTGTTTTATCGAAATCGGTTCTAAGTACCTAATTGCAACGACATCTTAAGACTAAAAATAGAACTAACGTTGTTGTAGTTGAAATCCAAATCCGATAGATGGCGTTGTGCAAAATAAAGTCGTCAAGTCCCGAATCGCGGTGAACTTATTTTTGTGACTGACTGACTAAAACCCCCGCCGTTCCTTCTCTTCTGGACCGAGGTCGCGGTGCCTCATTTCGCTTACCCTGCAACACCGGCTGAACATCAGCCCTATAGGGCCCCGTCTGTGGTGGTCTATTGGCTCTATGAGGCGCGCGCGGAACGCTGGCACAGTATAAATATCATACAGTATTGTAACTCGGCCGCTTGAAAGAAATAAATACCTACAGCCGCGCGGTACGTAAACATGCGTTAGGGCTGCTCATCTCCAGTATTTTAATTACCTTTGTCTACTTTCTGTTTCCATTTAGTTTTGTGATTGTAAATATCCATTTTTATATAAACAAATAAAGTGCTTTAAAAATAAACAAACAAAATTTCTTTGGCCACTAATGCCGAACTGAACAGCTGACTAAGAATGTTCTAAAATCACAACCCTCAAACATCAAAATATTACATGAGTCTAGCTGTTTTATTGTTGTTATTAAATATTTTCTAGTATTATTCATAAACGCAGATAATGAACAAATATTATTAATAATAAAATACCACACTCTCTACTTTGAATTATACAAACTAACAAAACATACATGAACCGTTTTAACACAAGCGTAAGTAGGTAGGTACCTAACGTATCATGATTCATTCAGAACCAGAACCGCCTATACCTACCTATTTCACTCGTCTCAATAACTTCATTCATATTATTTATAAATTCAAACATCTGTTTTCGTGAGATAACTGGAAATAATGATCCATAAAGACACACATTAAGTACCTACCTAGGCTACTAGTAAGTAAAATTATTTTATAGTCTTAACTTTCAGAGTTTCCAGGTAATTTAAAAAAAACTTATGTCTGGATGCGTTATTGAGGAATTCATGCAACCAAACATAATAACAGCACAATATTTCCTATTCGTCATATTAAATAATGTACTCGAGCTGATTTCTAAATAAAAGACAACACACCGTCCGTTCGTCACTACGGTACAGCCGCGTCTGTCTGCGTCCCGAGCGCGTCCCGACATCGGGCGCGTAGGTATAGTTCGCGTTTCGGCCGTTTCTATGAAGTTGAAATACTTGTAGATATTATTACCTTGACGCTGGGGTCTGGTTCTGTACGGGCGGCGAGCTACCCATACTCGCCGTCCGCAGACCCGCGCTTATGGTGGCCGGACGGAGCTCGTCTCTCGATCCCCGACGCCGGTAGTGTTGCTGACTGCAGCGGCGGGGGCGTGAGGAGGGGATAGCTCCCTCACGCGCTCCGCCTCCTTCTTTGCGGGCATAACTGCTTCGCAGAAAGAGGCGATAGCTTCCTAGTCCCTCTCGCTCCGTACCATGGCTTCGGCAGGGCGTGAGAGTTCGCCGCCAATCACTTCCTAGCGGTGGTGCTCAGCCCAAGAACGGCCGCAACCGTATGCTCCACCGTGTCCTCCGAGTCGTCCTCATAATGACGAGACTCGGGCGTTTCCTTCCGGCGGATCCGAAACAGGAACCTACCGAAGTTGCCGTGCCCGGTAAGCATGTGCGTCAGCCGGAAAGTGAGGACGCCTCTCAAACCACTCCGCAAAGAGGAGTCTTACCGCTGCTGGTGTGCAAATTATCTACATATTTTTTTGAATCGCGGTGTTAAGATTTTCCGGGCGAAAATAACCATCGACTGTGTTCACATGACAAAATGGGGAAGGAGAATCGAGGAAAATGAGGATTAGGTCTCCGGTACCTCCCTCACGCGGCGAAACAACGCCGTCGTCGCCTTCGGTCGAGCCAACCCATTCCTGCAGGAGCTTGGCTCTCCCACACTAAAAATAATTTTGAATAAGTAGTGCTAATCGGTTTACAGTTAGTGTAGCCAATTCTTTGAGTCGCGACCACGGACAGACGATTCGCTGCTGGGTCGTTCGACGCACCATTCTTTAAAGCCTTGTTCGCAAGCTATTCGTCATATTATTAATTTATTGCTTATTTTTGCCTTGAAAATTCAAAGCAAAAAAAGAAGAAAACCATTCACTGCGTAATCGAAATGCGAAAAGTATGGTCTCAGGAATCAAAGGGCTACAGAAGAGGCGTACTGTTTGTTTCACCTTAGAAAAAGGATTAAATAAAAATCAAATTGTTCAATTTTATTTGCTTACTAGTAATTAATTTCACATCAATCGACATTCACTCAGCATCAGCATGTTTCGTTATACAAATAATATTGATTTCACTATTAAATTAACAATCATTAGGTCATTATAAAATTATACAAAACACTAGGGAGCGAGGCGGGCAAGACTCGCTGCCACTCCCGTCATTAACCTATTTGTTGCTCGGCTCAGTGTGAACGAACGTCAGCGAACGCTCTCGACGGCGACGGCGGCAGGGCTCGGGGCGCGGTCTGCGACGCCCGACGGCGGCGGCGGCGGCGGCGGCGGCCGGGCGTCGGGCTCGGGCTACCTGCGGCGGCGCCGGCCCTTGCGGTAGCCCTTGCCGTACCAGCCGCCGTCGTCGGCGTCGGCGCGCGGCGCGTCGGGCCCGCCGCAGCAGGCGCAGAGGTAGCGGCGGCCGCGCGCGCGGCGCCAGACGCGGGCGGCGGGCGGCGGCGCGCGCGGCGGCCCGTACCACAGGCAGCGCCGCGCCGCGAACTGGCGCGCGCACCACGCGCACTCCGCCGCCGGCCGCTCGGGCGGCGCGATGATGGTGTGCAGCCCGGGGTACAGCGACGCGCGGCACAGCAGCACGGCGCGCCGGATGATGGCGGCCGCCAGCGACCCCGCCGCCTCCGACGTGCCGGCCTCCTCCTTCGGCTCGTCCTTGACGCGCTGCTCGTCCTTGATGCGCGGCTCGTCCTTGACGCGCGTCTCGTCCTCCAGCTTGGGCCGGAGCTCGGCGTCGCCGGGCTTGTCGTCGTCGGCGTCGCGCTGTATGCGGGGCTCGTACTCGAGCAGTCGCCGCAGACGGGAGTGCACGGGCGCGGCGCGCTGCATGCGGAAGCGGCGCAGGTCGCGGGTTCGCGCGCGCAGCAGCTCCAGGTCGGGCTGGGCGCGCTCGGCGAGCTCGCCGTGCTCGGCGTGCTCGCCGTGCTCGGCGTGCTCGGCGCGCAGTAGTATGGTGGCCTCGCCAGAGTGTAAGCTCACCTGCCACAAAACACTTATAATCAACATTCGCAAATGGCCTGCTCAGTCACAGAGTGGCACTCGATTTATCGTTTCAATCGCCACTTTTGCCGCGACTTTAAGCAACCGATGACTCAGAGGACAATGTGACACCCAGCCTTGTAGGTGCATTGACCCACTGCACTGTTGGTTAATCCCTGCAGTGTCTACGGAATAAAAAATTCAGTGGAAGTGCCGCTTAGACATCGCACGCTAGTCAACGTTATGGTTAGATGAACAACATTTGCTTAGTCGCTGTCAGAATAGTTCGTTCCGTTGTCATGATTGGTTGTCGTGGTTGTCTCTACGAAACACGAAATATATTAGAAATTATGTATTGTTGTGCGGTTTTCAACTGCAAAAAGGTATACAGAAAAAAAATGTCTTGTACAGGTGTATCGCTTCATTGTTGAGTACTATACCGTAATGTTATATACCTAGATTAATTAAAATCTAAGACCTAATGTAAGATATTTATGTACAAACGTAAATAAATAAAATTTGATTGATTGATTATAACTTTCATTACAATTAAGTTTAAATCTACTTGTTCGTTATCTGACGTTATATACGATACATTCCAGTGTTTCGACGCTACTCTTTTAGTGATAGAAAACATTCCTAAATTAGGTTCGTATCGATAATTTTTCATCGTCATTGTTCAGATAATTGATTTCGGACGATTTTTGTGTTTAATTCATAAATGTTTAACTAAGATTGCGTAGAGACATCAAAGTTTTAAGCACACATAGCGTGCATCCGTCTGTGGTAGCTGCGGGTTGCTAATCACTTTATTTATTTTGTAATATTGTAAATGATTTTTAACAGTTTCAAAAAGGAGATTGGCTTCAATTCGACTTTACATGTTTTTTTGTTTGTTCGTCAATATCTCCATTATTTATGAACCGATTTTAATAATTCAATTTTTGTTGGAAAGAAGATAATCCCATAATGGTCCCACAATATCTAATATCTAGGTAATCAGGACCCGATGAAGACCAGAAAATCGAGAGAAACTTCCAAATTTGTAGGGGCGAGTAGTGCTTTTATACGTTTAATCGAAATCTTTAATAATAATTTGACCGTCTCCAAAAAACAATGAATCTTCAAAAAAGTTGAATAGTTTTTTTTTCTATTAGAACCATTTTCCATTACTCATCATTTATATATCGTGTCGATAAATTATATTGCACACACGAATAAAATAAATAACATCGATATATCGGGATACCCTTATTTTTTTCTGACTGGACTGTCAGACTTTTACTGACTAAAAACCACCTTGTTGTCCCGTCTCTCACGTGGGCGTGAGGACGCGGGAATCAAAATTCATCCGCAGCATATTGGGATACCCTGCCACATCTGAGTAGCAAAATAGTAATGTCTTTTGCTGCAAGTGCATACAAATATAACATCAAAGAGATTAGCGTTTTGAATAGAATGAATTTGGTACAGCGCCATCTAGCATTGAGTGGATGAACCCGTTGTAAATTGTTTTATTTAAGTTTGTTACACGATACACGCCTTTATTGATTGTTATATGAAATGATAACAACTTTCGCTCATTGTTATAAGACTAAATTTATAACATATAAAAGATGATTTGCTAAAGTCGCGTTTCAATTTTTGACCCAATTATATTATAGCTGTTTTTTATGTGTGTAATGGACAATTTGATTTGCGAATGTGTGAGTTTGGCGACACTGGTTTTCCTTTTGAAAGAGTGTAGGGGCACTTCTACTTGAATTTCTTTTCTGTGGGTTTGCCAGAGGAATGGCAATAAGTCTACCTCATGTATTGTTTTCTGTGGTTAAAGCAGTGTGACTGTATTGATAAAATTAATAATGCGTGCATGAATTCACCTGAAAGGAATGAAAGCAGTCTGTTTGTCCGTTAGGTGGAGGCGCGGGCGGGGGCGCGGCGGCGGCGGGCGCGGGCCCGGACGCGGAGGAGGGCGCGGGCTCGGCGGCGGACTCGGGCGCGGGCTCGGCCGCCTCCGCCCGCAGGCGCGCCGCCAGGTGGCGCAGCGGCAGCTCCTCGTCGGAGTCGGAGGCGGAGGGCGAGGAGGGCTCCCAGTGGTCGGCGCGGGCGTCGGGCGCGTCGCGCGGCGCCTGCAGCGGCTCGCGGCGCGTGGTGTGCGCCTCGGCGTCGGCGAGCGGCTCGGCGTGCGCCAGGACGGGGTCGAGCGCGGCGCGGTACCGGGGCACGCGCAGGCGCAAGCGCCGCGCCACCTGCTGCATCACGGCGTCGCAGCGCGCGTTGATCTTCAGCGCCGCCACCGAGTCCTTGGGCGTCCACTGCAGGTTGACGATGTAGAGCGCGGGCCGGGCGCGCGGCGCGCTCTGCATGCGCCACAGGCGCGGGTAGCGGCGCAGCACCTTGAGGCTGGAGCCCAGGCACAGCACGACGTCGGCGCGCGCGGCGTGGCGCAGCGCGCCGGCCCAGTTGAGCGGCCAGGCGGCGCGGCCGCGCTCCCCGAAGTGCACGATGGAGTCGCGCAGCTCGGCGCCGCAGGCGTGGCAGAGGCGGCGCGTGCCGTGCGCGTGGCGCGCCGTGCGCTCCGTGGTGTCGAAGGCGCGCAGGTACACGCGGCGACAGGGCGCGCACAGCTCGGCGAACATGTCGCCGTGCAGCTCGGCCAGCGCGCGGCGCGGCAGGCCGGCGCGCAGGTGCAGCCCGTCGCAGTTCTGCGACACGACGAACTTGAGCGTGCCGCGCGCCCAGAGCGCCGTCAGCGCCATGTGCGTGAAGGTGGGCTGCGCGCGCGAGACCTCCACCCGCCTGCAACGAGCCGTGCGTGACGCGGGCCGCCCCCGGGCGAGCCCCGACCCACCTGTCACTGCCCCCACTCACCCGACGGTCTCGCCGCGCTGCAGCCGCGTCCAGACTCCGTGCGGCCCGCGGTAGTCGGGAATGTCGGCGGCCGTGCTGATACCCGCCCCTGTGTACACCTGGGTTCAAGCCATACTTATTATCGTTAGTTTATATATTTTATGTCGCGACAACCAGATATTATATTACTAAGTGTGGGAAAGCTAGAGAGGCACCACAGCCACACAGACAGACAAGCAGCATGTAAGCACACTTGTGATGTGTTGCAGTGTGAGTAGAGTTACTAGAACCCGATCCTTCCCTTGTGTTCCAAACACACGCTGAGTCGAGTATCAACATATCTAAAAATATAATTTGTATTTGATAACCCTCATAACAAAAAAATAAGTGTAACAGATATGTATTTGAAGTCATAGAGTTAAGAAGTAGTTGGTGAAGAAGTTGTTGAGAGAAGAAGTTGGTGGTGTAAATACATACAATACTGGCATAGTATACAGAGAAGGACAGTACGCTATCTCCGGCCCAATCCGCGATATAATTGCCTACTGTCTTAGGGTTGTCACTTTTAGCAAAATTTTAATTCAGTGCCTATAAATTGGCAAGGGTCGGAAAGTTGTATTTTTTACTTGTATTGTCTGGGTACAGGGTTTGTGAGGTGTGACTCTTTATGTCGTTACCATCTAGCGCTACACAGGCGGTAACATAGACTAAGAGCTTGTGTTAACATTATTTTGTCATTGTATTTTTTTTAGGCATAATGTAGTATTCTTTAACATAAAGGACCATATTGTAATGACACCCAAACACACAGCAATTCGTTCTCCTGCGATTATCGGACATTTTGTTTTGATTTAGAGATGCCGAAAAACAGTGACGCGCGAAACTCGTGCAGTGTTAGCCTCGACTGGCGCACTGAGAAACGGGTCGAGATTTTGTTATTCTTGCTTGGGCCACACTAACGGGAAATGTCATTAATTATCGCGATAATGGACGTTAGTCGTAGGTGTAATTTGATCACTAAACAAATGAATTAAGGTATATTTTTCATTGTTTAATATCATGAATTATCGCGATAATTATTGGGATTTCCCGTTAGTGTGGCCTAAGCATTAGTGTGCGTGCGTTGTAACGGAACGTTACATGATTTTTAAAGTCTTTGTTTGTGCGCGGGTTAGGAACGCGCGGAATGAACGGAACGAAGAGTTTCGATCGATGCAGCGGCGCGAGCGCAGCGCCGCAGTAACATTGAGTGTCATTCGCTGGTCGCTTCTAGACTGGTGCGTACGCTGTCCTCCTACCAATTTCCGTCATGGCAAGCGCCCTAGCAGACACAGCCGTTTAATTTTGAAAATAAATTAATTTAAAATCAAGTGATTCAGTAAATTTGTTGTGTGGAAATCCCGAATAAGGGTAAGTTTTGAATAGCACACGAATTCATACCATTCATGTAATCATTTACAGCTTTGTGCTTCATATTGTTTTATTTGCAGCTTTCCATACTTCCATTTTTTATTTCCATGGACAGCTGTGCTTATTCTGGCTGTATAACTGGCTTTGCATGGCTTAATGTACAAAGTTATAGCTGGCAATAGTTAGGAAAAGCATTAGTAAATTACAAAAAAAAATGTTGCATCATTCGAACTCAAAGTACCTTCAAGTATATTGATAATTTTTTCCAAATTAAAATTTTAAATAATTCTTAACTTTTGTGACTGTTAATTCTGTTTAATTTTGTTTTCTTTTATTTTTTTTGTTTGTGAACTCCGTTCTGTATTGCCGCCACGTCAATGCTACTACAATTAGATAGGCATCTCTTCCTCGTTGTCGTCGGTGGTACTCCAGCACGGAAGTGATTAGGCCGAGTTCTGATTAGCTCGAACGGTGATTCCAGGTTTTTCCACCCGGCTATAAGACGCCAGCGGTAGTAATCTCGTGTTCGGTTACTACGAGCCGAGGTCTCGCCGACGCGATAGCCTCGTACAGCACCGTATTACATCTCGGCCTACCTTCACTACCATCACCATCCATCTCCGGCCAGCAGCGGGATTTCGCCACAACTACAGCGGAGTACCTATCCCTGCAGAAGTGACTTCAGACAAATTTAAACCTACGACCCACAAATCTTTGTGCCTCCGGCTGTGTTTTTTTTTTTTTGTAAAAATATACTTTTTTTTATAAGGTACACACCCGTTTTCTTTATTTGTATCACCTCGTGGGAATCAAACGGGTAGAGGTTACAGCGTCGACGCGTAGATACTATGGCGCACACATACAAGCCGCGCGCGGTGTGTTTGTATGAAGATACTTCCCTTCTCGTTATACTATGATACTGGGATATTGCAATATCTACACCATGTTTATTTTATACACTTGAATTAACTGAAAAAGTGTTCAAGCTATTATTATTAGATTATACGATATTAGATCATAATTAATGTTATTTAATCCCCGACGGAAAAAGAGGAGTGTTATAATTTTGACGTGTCTGTCTGTGTCATTCTGGAGCCTGGACGGATGAAGCGATTTTAATTTAGTTTTTTTTGTATTAAAGGTGACTAATGAACAATTGTTCTTAGACATGTTTGACGAAAATCGGTTTTTCCTGTATTATGTTTTATCATATAATGTGGTTGATGCATAAATTTTTTTTGGTATCGGGTTGGAAAATCCTCATGGAGTCCCCCCGCCCTCGGGGGAGGGCAAGGGGTACTGTCAGACTCTTACTGACTAAAAACCAACCCGGTGTTCCTCCTCTTACCCATGTCGGAGGGGCGGGTATCGCCGAAGCATTCGTCGCAAACCCCCGACGGGTAATGGCCCGCCAGATGGTTAGGCGGGCCCCGTCACCCACTGCGGCCGTCACCCAGACCGCAGGACTACACTACTACTCTATGAGGCGCGCGCGGAACACGGCGCAGCCGCCTCGAGGCCTGCTGCTGGACGGACGACAAGACGCCCCGAGTCTGACGTCCGCAGGTCGCGCACTACGGTGGACGCAGGTCGGCCACCCTTCGATGTCTAGTGCGTCTGCTGCGGAAGGGGAGTGAGGAGGCAGCCTCTCTCTCGCTTTCCGCCGCCTCCTTTGCGAGCATCACGGCCTCGCAAAAGGTAGCGACGGCACACCACCCTGACTCTCCTGACCATAGTAGACACTACAGCCGGAAGCGAGAGACTTCCCGCAGCACCTACGGCCGCGCCCAAGTCATGGCGCTGCTCTGCCCAAGCTGGGAACTTTGCCAACGTATGCAGCGCCGTAATACATACATTAGTCCACCTGTCTTATTAAATATAAGATAGGTGGACTAATGTTTTTAATTATCATTTTTCATGATTATACATATAATATATACGCTATACATATATCGCGTCGGGGGACCGCAAAAAAATTGTAGAGAATAAAAAATTTCTTGTGGTCTCCCAAAGCGACGTATTTTTGTTCTTTTTTTTTTCTTTTTAAAGGGATCTTACGAAGTATCTTTTTGACGGGATTTTTAAATTTCAAAGAATATTTTATTGCAACAAGTTGTCTCACAGTTGACGTTGCCCGACTAAAATTCGAGCTAAGGTTTCGTTACCAGTAATAGTATCAGACAATTGTCATTTTGATAGACCAGTTGTTAATACACCAGCACAGTACACAGAGGCGGTTTTACTTATGATAGCCCATCTAGTGTATTACTAGGTCAGCAGATCACGTAGCAGCTTAGCTAGGAAACAATGGATGGAAATAAAAAAGCTCTACTGGTTTCAAGTAACAACGGAACTCTTATTGATGAGTGCATGCGCGTCGCGGCGACGTTTATAATATTATAAAGCTGAAGAGCTATGTAGTTTGTTTGAACACGCTATTCAATACATACAATGGTGGACTTAATGCGGAATGGCATTCTCTACCAGTCAACCGTAAGGGTGATGCACTGAAGTGTTACATTAGGATGAAGCATCACACCATTCCAGAACATAGGTACTAAATTATAATGAGTATAATATTAAATATATTGAGAAATATAATATAATAATAAATACCGAAACACTACAACCATACACACAATGTGTATATCCTTTCCATATATATATGTGTACACACACACACATATATAAAAAAACATAATCTATACTTCGATACTAATTTTATAAAGAGGTAAAATTTGTAAGTTTGTATGTAGGGGTAATCTTTGGAATTACTGGTTGGATTGCCAAAATTCTTACACTGATAGATAGCTACAATGTTTCTGAGTGCTATAGGCTATAAAACATCACGCTAGGATTAAATGGAGTCGAGCAGAGTAGCTAGTTAAATATAAAATAAGTGGATTATACATATATGTATACAACAACAATATTGTACGATAAAACATTTTAGAGGATAAAAATCCAAATTATTGAGTTGATTCTGCCAGTTTGTCAGTTTCCCGTACACATATTTGCGAAGTTTAAATTTAAAGTATTGCTGATTATTTGCTGTCTTGATATGCGAGGGCAAGGCCTTCCACAACAAAATTGATGGGACTACACATGAAAAATGGATAAAATCAGTTTGCTGTGTTGCTAAATATGACATCAAAGGAGAAATACACAAACATAATTTTTCATTTGTTCTAATTGTAAGTTAACACCACATGAATTAATTTCATTGAGTAACACCAAGGGACAAATAATTATTGCCTTAGGGGAGGGCTAACACCTGTACGGTGGCATAACTGAGCTGTCGACCCTATCTAAGATATGGGAGCTCCCCATGGCTATTGCCTGACACTAGAATTTACAGCAATACCTAATTTTGTTGTCCACTTATTCAAAGTAGTCAAGTTAGCACTAAAACTCGAGATCAAATCAGGGTTTGTTAGTCAATTTACTGAACTAGGCTTTAAGCTACAAAAGTCACAATAAGATTGGTAGGAGCTGAGCAGCAGGTGAAACCACACAATAGTAGCTAGTATTACGACATATACTTTAGCAAATGCAATATTTAAAAATAAGTTTCTTTGTTGACCTTTTTCAAGACATCCTTGTGAATTGTGAAATCCTTGTCCATCATTAAGAAGGTCCCTGCAGTGTTTATGTCAGCCCAACATACCCCACAATGGTTAGCACATGAGCACATACCATGTGACCAATTCAGTTGGGACAATATTACAAGTATTGGTATTATAGTCACATACACAATGTTTGGGTGGATGTTTAAGACACCAATTTTATTCAGTCATCTCAAGTAAATCTCATATTTAAAAATGGATCACAAAATGTGTTGGTAAGCGCATAACTCAACAACGCCTGGACCAATTTTGCTAATTCTTTTTTTGTTGTGTTTGTTATTGTCAGGAGAAGGTTCTTATGAGAGAAAACTTTAGAAAAGTAAAGGGGAATAGGGACACCAGGATAGTTGGGTACCCGTGCAAAGCGGGGGCGGTCTGCTAGTGCAAAATGAAACCATATTATACTAAGGAATCAAAACAAGGCTAAGGCTGAAAATGCTGATGCCTTATCTATTGTAAATTTACCTACAAGCATTTTGTTCCTGAAAGTAGCAGACACAAACATTTGCCATTAACAGGTAACAATTTTATGACAGAAAACCCACACAAAGTCTCAACCCCAGGGGAGAATTCATTTATAAGAGCTGTTACTAGCGGCCTCATTATACTGGAGGCATTTACTGAATTAGAGGGAATGATTGCCTTGTGATCTGTCTCAATCTCAAGTCAACTGTCAAGCAAATTAAAACTCGTCGATCTCTGCTTACCACTAAATGTTTAGCATTTCGGAGGGCCCGAGCAAGGCGACGACACTTATCTCGAAGCACTCGTGGGCTGTCCTCAACTTCAGCGGCGCGCTCAGCTGCACGCGCACGTCGCTGAGCGGCTGCCGCCGTCGTGGACACCGGCCGGCCGCGGCCCTGTGGAGCGGTGCGGGCCGCATTCGGTGCTGCCATGGCCGCTCCGCTCTCACCGCTAAGCCGAGCACTGGACCGCACTCCCCCACGGTCCGACATGTCCCCGGCTAGTGCCCGCACTCACTCCTAAACTGATTCCCCCGGTAACGCCAGCAGCTCATCGACCCCGGCCTTTTACACATTTCGTTCGAAGCCAACACACAATCCCAATGCTCGTAAAGTCGTAAACAACTACAACAACCGAAGAGGAGCCTTCCTGTCGTTTTCTTTCGTCAGACAGATGGAAATACCACAGATGAAAAAGTGCACAGATAAAAATTTTATACAGGGCTTTTAATGCAATATTAAAATAATCACAGTTTCAATTTAGTTGCTTAATTTATAACATTCTCAATATTCATATTTTCTACCTGCTGTTTGATACTAAATATTGACTCTTTACCTGTAAATAGGATCGTTTTCTATTCACTTGTACTAACTATTCACAAATACTAATACTATATAAGCACTAATCAGCTTGTTTACTCATTAGGATTTAGTATTAGTGTTAAGTACTAAGAACATAGATACGAAGCCCGTGTAATTAAAAAACCTATTTTATGACTAGTTTAAAACTTATACTAACTTTTAAACTTTCGCGTTTCATATTTCCAACACATAATATTAGACTGATTCTTCAGTCTGTTTGTAACCACGACCCGACAAGCAGGTCGAAACGTCAAGCCTACCAAGGTAGGTAGGTATTAAAATTTTATTAGTTCTTTTCTTTCACGGGACCACAGGGTCCCGGATTTTGGAAGGCATACGAGGAGCCGAACCTAACTCGCAGAGGCCCGTTGAACAATTTTAATCTAAATGTGATGGGACATCAGCCGGCAATTATCCCTGCATGCACTATAAAAGTGCACTCAAGGGTAATCCCCGGTTGTAGCAGGACTATTGTAAAATGTGGTAAAAATTGATAGGGTTATGGGTACCATGGGTTGCTATGCACTAGTGGATGAAAACTATGGAAATACTATGGCCCCTGCCCCTGACCAATATTGATACATACGGATAAACAGGCAGGGGGTAACTGGCAAACTCAATTAATGGGCCCCTGGAAATGGCCGCCAGCATGTAGCGACACGGGGGCAACATACGTTGATTTGCTTGGGGAACTAGAGGCAGACCCCTACCAGCACCTAACTTAGATACATCCTTCCCCCGAGTCTCCTTCAACTCCTACTCTTGCTACTCTTGCGAATCTCCACTCAAGCCAGCCAATTAAGGCAAGAATGAGGTGGGATGGCTTGTTCTTCATCAGTGTTCACTCCAGCTCGTCACGAAGGCTAACCGGAGGTGAAAAACAAGACACCTCCCGGGAGTCAGGTCCGTGGGGTCGCCACTGCCCAACAGCTCGCCACAAGCTGCCTTGCGGATGTATTAAAATAATTATTATCCGCGTTAATACGCTTATTGTAATATGTTGTGAAGTTTTAAACTTGTCTTAAAATAGAATTATTAAGTTAGAAAAAGAAGAAACAAGTTCTTACATTAAAGTCTGTTAGAACAATATTATTAAAAACTATTTCATAATACTCACTTATTGCTATTTTATTTAAATTGCGCAATTCTTTAAAAATATCGCTTATAGTTTTGCCATATGCCATAGTGTAGGTTTATCGTTTTGTCAAACTTTAGACTGTCAGTGTCAAAAGTCACGTCTAACTAAAACTCTAATATCCATTCTCTTTGGTAGTTTGACAGGTATGTAATGATTGTGTTATTGAAGAATTTGTGGAAAATCTGAATTAATCTACTAAAATAGTGCAATTTTCTTACTACATTTAAATTTGTAGTATACATACGTTAGCTGTACATCAGATGCAAGTGTTATTTCACGTTATTTATTTCGTATATTTCTTTTTTTCAGTTCAACATTGAACGTTGTCTTCAACATGGTAAGTAAACATTGAAATATATCAGTGACGAAAGTCTTACAGGTTATTTTATTATGTCCTATGAATATCACATAACGACTACTATTATGTCAAATCTTAAATGATAATATGGTTCTATGGTATTTACACTGCTTATTCTTTGGCTAGGGGCAAATCATATAATCCATTTACTGTAAATCAAAGGCCTGTGTTCAGGTGTGAACGTATCCGGCCGTTGCAGGGTAATGATAAATCACACTCATTACCTTTGAATTCAATACCAATTTTATGTCCTACTTCTGACTTTTGACAATTTATTCATGTATTGATATATACAAGTATCCAATTTAAGTTATATTTACTTCTAGCCATCGATGTCTTGCTCTTCCTTGTCGCCGTCGAAGGGCAAGGCTTCGTCATTTTTTATAAAAAAAAAAAAAACGATTCTACATTGTGCTATGCGGGGGAGCTGATAGTGATGTAAAACAATGTAAACATTTAATCTCTGGAATCCCTAAGCGAACGCCGGCGTTCACATGGGTGTTTCGCCATTGACAATAGACATAAACTAAGACCAATGACTAAAATATTTTATAATTTCAGCTGTATTCAGTTACCATTGTTATTTAATAATTAGAATTTAACAAAAAAAAATGTACCTATAAAAAGATTTATAGTTTGCACACTAAACAAAAATAATGTAAGTTGCGCCTATAATGTAGATCTGCTCACAGAAGACCATAAGCATGTACTGCTTTGCAGAGACATTATCTACATCACTTGTTACTCTTGCGCAGATTCACTTGCTACTCGGCTCCTATAAATTGTCACATCCTGTTTTATAGCATAAAGCCTTCCCGGATAAATGGACTTAACAAACACATAAAGAATTATTGAATTCAAACCTATGGTTCTGGAGAGTGTGTTGAAACAAACAAACAAACTCTCCAGCTTTATAATTTTAGTACAGATGAGAAGATTATAGAACCTTCAATTAGAAATAATCAGTCCAGGTTTTCAGGTGCTATGTCATATTGGTACAGGCCAGGTATTCAACCCACACTCCCAAGTTTGACAATCTGATGACTTCACTTCTGGTTTACGATGACATAGCACATTACTGACTTAATTCATAAATAGTAAAATAGTTTTGTTAAATAACTACCTTACTTCAACTTGCAATTTATTCCCTCCTAAAGCATCAAGCTGGCGTTGTACTTTCATCAAGGTAGATGATGTGATGTGGTGATCGTGAGATGTTATTTCATATTTGTATGTAAGGGTACCTTAATATGACTAGAGCAATGTAGAATCATACATTAAAAAGCAGCTAACCCTGAAAATGTGGAAGTATTTAACCTGTTTATTTGTTTTGTTACAGCCGCGTGAAATCAAGGATATCAAGGACTTCCTACTGACAGCACGCAGGAAAGATGCTAAATGTGAGTGTCATTGAATTACCTGAAAATGTTGGGGCACCGCTAGTGTACTAACCAACCAGTGAAAGGTGAAGAAAGTAGAGTACCCCAGAGCTTACCCTGCAGTGACCCTTAATATAAGGGGACATGACTCTTCTTAAGATATTCAGTGGACTAGGTAGTGTCTCAAATTGATGAGTTGGCTTATGATAAAGTTTGATGTTACAGCTGTCAAGATAAAGAAGAACCCAGAAAATGTCAAGTTCAAGGTGCGGTGCTCACGGTTTCTTTACACTCTGGTCATTACAGACAAAGAAAAGGCAGAGAAACTCAAGCAGAGCTTACCACCAGGTACTTACCTACTCTATATTTTGTTTATTTTAATACTTTTGCCCAATGACGGATTTTATGTCGAAAGCATTTTCTTTAGCGATTATTCTCAAATTTTTTTCCACCAGAGAAAGGGTCATTTACTTTGAGTCTAGCTAAATGCTATACAGAGTCAGGTCATGGTAGGTGCAGGAGCAAGAGGTTTTGATTAGTATATACCCAAAAACATTAACATTCATATATAGGTCAATAGACAATACTTATGATAAAAATTAAGTAATGTAATAATATTGTAAGTTCCATTCACGGGACCAAGGATCCCGGACGTTTGAAAGGCGTACGAGAAGCCAAAGCCAACTCACAGAGGCCCATTGAACAGTTTAAATATAAATGTGATGGGACATCAGCCGGCAATTATACCTGTATGCACTATACATTCCGTGTGCTAAGTATCGGGAACTTGTGAATTAAACAAAAAACACAAACATAATACACATACAAATTATTCATCTAAATTTATTTTAAAGTAGGCCCCGTCGCTTGTAATACATCTCCACCGCTTCACCCAGTCTTCCATACATTTTTCATAGGCTATTTGCGGTATGGCCTTTAACTGAAGGCGAGAGAAATAACTTGGGAAATAAAAAAAAGTCAGATGGGAGCCGTAATACGGTGCTTGGTCGAAAACTTTAGTTGAACTCTTCACTAGACAGTCATTGCTGTGTGTGATGGTGCAGCATCCATGAGTTGTGTTGCCACATCTGGACGTTTTCGGCGGATACTGTTGCATGTCGTACTCGTAGACGCATGTCTCGTCGCCAATTATTATACGTTGCATTGGATTAGTAGAAGCTCAAGAAATCATGTCTTCAGCGACATGCTTTCACTGGGCTGTTTGAACAAAATTAAGCTCTTTTGGAACTAGTCGAGCAGCGACGCGTTTCATGCCAAAAATGTTAATAAGCATGTTGTGGACGGACTAAAAAGATATACTCACCTCACTAGCCAACTCTCTCAGACTCATACGTCTATTTTCGAGCACTAGCTTTTTGGTTTTCTTTGGTTGTAGCGGTTGAAGCTCTACCAGAACGAGGCAAGTCTACTACTACTGCTCGCCCTTCTTTAAAAGCGTAATACCATTCATAAGCCCTTGTTTTCCATATACACGATTCGCCGTAGGTATTCCGCAACATTTTTAGTGATACACCACATGGAATATCATTCGAAACACAAAATTTAAGGCACACTCTTTGTCCAACAATAATTTCCATTAAAAGTAAAAAATCAAAACCATTTATTTCAATTAGACCACAATAGGCACTTAAGAACGTCAAGCAAGAAAAGGAAAAAAATATATGAATAGCTTTATCATAAGACGTGTCAGTCTGTCCATCTGTCCTTTAGTGAAGCTATTTGCTCATTCCAAAGTGTAGATTCCTATGGAGAAGAACGAGCGAGAAACTCCATGGTTACTCTTTTTCAATGAGATTTACCAATATATTTCTTTGTTACATCATTTAGTCTGTTCTGATATGCGAGAACAGTGTAACACTTATGTTTAGGCAAAAAATACTTAAAAGAAGTTAACCTCAAGGACAACATATTTAGACAGCCTGGAGATGACCAGTCCCAATAGGAACCTCAAGGACAACATATTTATAGCCTGGAGATAAACAGTCCCAATAGGCGGCGCCCGTTCACGAACATGAGACGTACATCAGCACCGACCAACTCAACCATATTATAGGGAATCGAGCGACCCAGTACCCGTGCCACCGCCAATGAGACTCCTGAGTGAGCATGACAGCTTCCACTACTATATTCTACTAGTCTAACTTAAGTAGACATTAAAAATCGCGGAGGACTCAAAACTATCACCAGCAAGAGGTAGAAAACAAATTTAATTACGGATCACGCTCAAATTATGCGCGCTTAATCAGTACAGTGACCAACATGCAGTAAAAAATTAGAACAACCTCTTTTACGCAGGTCTTTTTATTGACATATTCCCGATACTTTTTACACATAGTAAAAGTGCACCCAAGGAGAATCCCCGGTTGATACACAGGACTATTGTGAAATGTAGTAAAAATATAGAGTTGAGACTAGTGGATGAATACTATCTCTGCCCCTGACCAATATACGGTTAAACAGGCAGGGGGTGACTGGCAAACTCAATTAATGAGCCCCTGGAAACGGCCGCTAGCATGTAGCGATACGGAGGCAACATACGTTGAGCTGCTTGGGGAAGGAAAGGTATCCCACGGCTATCAGAGCAATCCTGGAAGTACGGTCAAGACTTTTGCGAATCTGCACTCAAGCCTGCCAATTAAGGCAAGAATGAGGTATGAGGGCTTGTTCCTCATCAGTTTTCACTTCCTCTAAAAGAATAATGAAGAACAAGACACCTTCTGGGAGTCAGGTCCATGGGGTCGCCACTGCCCAACGACACGCCACATGCTGCCTTGTGGATCTTATACTATTATTAAATATATTCAATCTATACCTACACATAACTTGCTAGGCTTCTACACATAACAGTATCATGACATGTATAAAACAAAGTCGCTTTCTCTGTCCTTATATCCCTTCTACTAAAAATCATCAACGATTTCCCTTCCACGGTGAGGTAAGAGGGTGTGTCAGACTCTGTCTAAACCTCCCTTCCCCACATTCCTTCTCCCGCAATAGACTGAGGCCGCGGTTCCTTATTGCGCTAGCGCCGCAACCCCGGTTGAACATCGGCCTTGTAGGGCCCGGTCTGTGGTGATCTATAATAATATGCTCTCCGTATGCTACAGTTTTGTGTCTAAAATATGTCAAATATGCTGCTTATCTTGTTCAATAACACATCAATTTGTTTGTTGCAGGTCTCCAGGTTAAGGAAGTGCAGTAATGTGACTAGATTTAATCAATAAAAAAAAATTTCAAAATAATTGCATTTAAATACAAAAAGGTACTAAATTTATTCCCCCTCCCCCCTCCCCTCCTTTAGGCTGGTAATTTGTAAAGTAATTCAAATTATAACTTTGATATATCTATATATATAAAAGAAAGTCGTGTTAGTTACGTACACCACTTATAACTCAAGAATGGCTGAACCGATTTAGATAAAAATCGGCAGGGATGTAGTTTAGAGCCAGGAGAAGGACATAGGATAGGATAAGAGTAGGTTAGGTAGAGTAAGGTAGGTTGGGCAGGTAGAGTAGGGTAGGTGCTCAAATAACGGGAGCGACGCCGCGGGTAAGAGCTAGTTAACACAAAGCAAAAAACCGTGGAGTGAGCCTAGGTACGTGTGTTTGCTTGTAATCAAAATCACTAAACTAGACAACGGTGGGGCGGGATTTTATTTCGCCCGCTGTGATTGGACGATTAATTGACAATTGATTGCAAAAAAACGCGTGCGTTCGTGCAGCGGAATGTTGTTGAATTTAAAGATTTTAATTATGCAGATATTTAGTGTATGACGTCGTATAATTGTGTATGGTAAAAAAAAATTTGTGCACGCAACCATTGTGGAGAAATTTACCAAAAACTGATTCCGCTGGGCGAACGTTGTCCTGGCGGAACTTTTTTTAATCCATAGACTTTAGAAGAAAAGAGATGTATCCAAAAATTAGTGTGTATTTGTGTGTGATTGTGTATGTATGAATAAAACTAGTGCATGCATAAACTTCTGAGAAATTCAAGTTTCCGCTACGCGAACGTTTGGCCATTAGCTAGTTTTCATATAAAGCGCTTACATAGAGAGCTGTAGATTTTTACACACGTTGTTTTGAATTTGTTTATATTTGTTTAAAAAACAGATTTAGAAAAAATCGTAGGGTTTACAAGATAAAAATATAAACGTAAAATACGCTTATCAGGTCCTAGTTCTTAAAGTATGCACTTTGGGGTCTAGATTTTCACGTTTATACAAACCTTGTAAGTGTCTGCAACATGTTGCCAAGTATCAATGATGTTCCCTTAGTAATTAAATAGTTATAGGACAATTATGACAAATTTACCATGAATAGATCACTGTTTACAAAGCAGTCAAATATCACGACTTTCTAAATGAATTGCATGGTAAAATGTATGCCAGTAATTAGTGTATTCATTCAACTATTCACATGCAAAATTTCATGTCATTAAATTCAGTAATTAAAGAAAAACAATTATAATACTGACGAAGCATCGAAAACCTACATAACCCGACCAAGTTCGGATGGCTACAAAAAAGCGGCCGTGCCATATATCTAAGACACGTTCTTAACTTTTCAATATAGCATTTATTAATATGGTACAGTATCGTACACAAGAGGTAGGAAAAAATAAAACAATTTAAAAAAAAATCGATTCAAGAAGTGGTTTTTTTAAGTTATTTGATTGTTTGATCCACTAAAGTTGCAAAGGGGAACGCTCGTGCATGCCTAGTCTATTGGTTAAATAGTGTAATAAGCTACAATATGATAAACATTTACCTAAACAGTAGTACATACTTACATGTGGTAAAGAGAGTGTGAGAGTAGAGGTGTGTAAAGGTATTTAATTTCCCTAAGGGGTCTATAGTTAGAATCCTGATCCGTGAAATCTTCAATAGAAACTAGCTGTATGAATTTTATTTGTCTTAAATATAATTAGATTATATCTCAAGTCTCAAGCGCATACTTAAATAAAGTACCTACGTAAATAGTACCCACTTTCTGTCATAGTCAAATACATTTAAAAAAGTAGGTGTCCAAAAATAAATGACATAAAAATTATTTCGAAACAACAAATGTGTTATCACCTGTACCAATTCAATACCGGTATTATACTGTAAATTTTGGGATGTTACCTAAATATATTGCACAGCCGCTTTTTTGTAGCCATCCGAACTTGGTCAGGTTATGTAGGTTTTCGATGCTTCGTCAGTATTATAATTGTTTTTCTTTAATTACTGAATTTAATGACATGAAATTTTGCATGTGATTAGTTGAATGAATACACTAATTACTGGCATACATTTTACCATGCAATTCATTTAGAAAGTCGTGATATTTGACTGCTTTGTAAACAGTGATCTATTCATGGTAAATTTGTCATAATTGTCCTATAACTATTTAATTACTAACGGAACATCATTGATACTTGGCAACATGTTGCAGACACTTACAAGGTTTGTATAAACGTGAAAATCTAGACCCCAAAGTGCATACTTTAAGAACTAGGACCTGATAAGCGTATTTTACGTTTATATTTTTATCTTGTAAACCCTACGATTTTTTCTAAATCTGTTTTTTAAACAAATATAAACAAATTCAAAACGTGTGTAAAAATCATTGAGATAGAAAATATATAGAGGCGCCGTGTTACTATAGAAGTATACATGCTTATACAAATATGAGGGAAATATGAAACAAACTATGAAATATCATTTTTTCTCACTCTTTCTAAGGCAATAATTGTATTAGACAAAAGGGACAACAATATTTAAGTTGTTGCTTAATATGGAAACAAATCATTTTGACATTAGCAAAGTTGTAGGTAAGTGCCATGTCCGCCATCTTAAGCGCTCAGAGTACCTGAGTTTCATGGTAGTTGTCCTGTCAAACGGTTGTTTATGTTTTAAATTATTGCGGTTTTTCAGTAAATTACAAAGAACCATTTTTTTAAACTTCAAATATATATAGTGAAACAAAAAAACAATATGCCTGTGTGTTGTATTGTGCAGTGTGGTGCAAAAAAGAACGAAAATCAACCTCAATTGTCTTTGTATAGGTTAGTAAACAGTTTTCATCAAATATTACTTAGAATAATCCACATAGATGGAAAAAAATGTCACGGATACTTTAATCTATTGCCAAAGTATATATATTTACTTTTTTTTCTATCTGTGAGACAGTTTTAGTAAAAAAATGTTGTTTACAATAATATGTCAATATGGCATAGTTACGTACCATTTCACAAAAGTATCGATATAATCTCCCATTTAAAATTCAACATATATTATACTAAATAATCTATTTTAACAATGGATGTTTCCGCAGTTTTGTGTAACGCTAAATTAAGATGTCAGTATTTTGGTATTGGTTTTAGTTACATAAGTAGAAGTTCAAATTATCATGTTTTATAATTATACGGGCGCGATTGACAGAGCGGCGTTGGCGACGATCCCAGTGCCCACCAACCACCAAGCGTAATAATAAAAAGTGAGATACATACAATAAGATTGACTTCACTACATATCTATTTTGTGCTAACGTAGTTTCGAAGATATCATCGTTTAATCAGACGCGCCGAAATTGTGCGCGAGCACTTCAAAAATACCCACAGGTTTTCCACATATATAAAGATAAACATTTAACAAACACTATCTTTTTCTATTTCACCATTCCATTAAACGCTGTTCATAAACACAGTCCTATTTTTTTAAAAGACGCTTTACGTAGTAATATATGAATACTAATTCGACTTGAGAAAATCATTAGCCAATCAAGAGACCAAGTTAACCCCGGGTTCCGGCCTTAGCTAGGCCGACGGCAAAGTAGGAACAGGAGTTGATTTTAGTCAGTAACGGTCTGTCCCGAAAAAGGCCGGAGATGACATTAGATGATTTCCCATAAAAAAATACCGTTAATCAGCTGGCTAATCCCTAAAACATACCTACGTAGAACTTTTACTCAAATTGTATCGATACTCGTTAAATACTTAGTCGGCACAACCCTAGCAACGGCAGCCATCTTATGCGACATTTTGGATTGTAGGTAGGCACCTTTTTTTCGTAGGTATTTCAAGTCCATATATTTCCTATGTCAATGGTAAAAATCTACAGCTCTCTATGTAAGCGCTTTATATGAAAACTAGCTAATGGCCAAACGTTCGCGTAGCGGAAACTTGAATTTCTCAGAAGTTTATGCATGCACTAGTTTTATTCATACATACACAATCACACACAAATACACACTAATTTTTGGATACATCTCTTTTCTTCTAAAGTCTATGGATTAAAAAAAGTTCCGCCAGGACAACGTTCGCCCAGCGGAATCAGTTTTTGGTAAATTTCTCCACAATGGTTGCGTGCACAAATTTTTTTTTACCATACACAATTATACGACGTCATACACTAAATATCTGCATAATTAAAATCTTTAAATTCAACAACATTCCGCTGCGCGAACGCACGCCAAAAAAACTTCAAAATACATCGTTACTACACATTATAAGAAATGCGAGATTTTCTTGCGATTGTGTAATAAAATAATATTTTATAAAAAGGGAGGTGTTAGTACCTAAACAATTTCACAGTCAAGGACTAGTATATCTCAAAAACAAAAGTGTGGATGAACCAAGCTCGACCGGATTAAATTATATATATATCAGTATTTTCTATTCCGTGATAGTATATACAAGGGTATTATTCTCTGCAGGCTGTGCTATTTACTAATTTTTTAGTGGGAGGAAAATTATCAAATGACATTTTCCGCCCCGGGTAAGGCGAGTGTATCAGTTCCTTCTCCTGCTATAGGCCAAGGTCACGGTGCCTCATTGCGCTTCCCCGCAACCCCAGCTGAACATAGCCCTGGAGGGCCTCTTCTATGGCCTATTGGCTCTGAGGCATTGAAGGAGTGTGATACTACGTAGGTACACTCCTTCACAGAGTAGCTCTTGGAAGAAAAATTCATAAAGATATATTATAGGATATTAGTAAAAACACACTTGGCAGAACACATATTTATTACTTGACGTTCTCTTGTCAACTCAAAAAAAGAAGATTCAAAATACTATCATAAAATGCATAGAGATTAAAAAAAGGTCGCAATACTCTTGCTCTAACACTCCTCCTTAATCTCATGCATATGATATGTACACACACATCTTTACTTTATACACGCAATCCCATACCATTCACACACCACTCATACTTGCCTCTGGGGAGAGCCTTGGTCAGAGCATCTGCTACCATCTTATCTGTTTCCCGATACTCCAATTTTATAGCTCCCGACTCAAC